TAATGTCTGTTGCATATAGACCCATAGGATGTTGGGGATACATGTTTGATGAACTTGTCCTTTAATTTCATTACTCATATAAACTAGGCTGCATTATATTGGGAACGTTTGTCTTGAACCCTGACTCTGCATCTGTGATCCAGCCAGGTAATCCCTACTTGCTTACATGGGCTTGACAGTGTTCAAACTCGGAATATTTTCTTTGAACGAGAAAAAGTGGACTGGCATAGAACATTCCATGGATTTCCAGAGAGGTTACCATGAGGAATCTGTACCCTGTGTAAGCAGTCTAATTCCAGGGGTTTCCGCCAGCAATTGATTCAGGATGGCCATGACGTGCAGGTCAGCACCAGTGGATTGCCTTTTAGCTGCAAGTTGTTCCTCTGGGTTCGATTGTCTGCAGCATCTTGTTTGAGAAAAAAGGTGGTCATTCGACGGTTAGTAGCTAACTAGGCCGCCTCCAAAGCCGAAATTCTGCAGTAGCAGTTTCAGTAGAGGTGACTTTAGAGTCTAAGGACAGCCACTTTCTTGTTAAGGTAATGCATCTCGGTTCTGAAGTGCTTGCATATTTTAGAAGCCATCTGATCCAAGTCCTGCTACATGGAGAGCTGATGGATAAGGTCCCGCAAGGTTCCGTCTCTGCCCGGTCCTGTGTGTACAGTTGCTGCTGAGCAGTCAGAGCAAGTGGAAGATGCAGGACAGGTGTTGGTAAGAGTGAAGCCAGTGGGCCCTGTCTGCGATCTGCTGCAGTGTGTTGGGAGGCCTGTGCCTTACTTAATTTCTTGCTGTGAGTAGGGCCCGAGGCGGTTGCAAGGGTTGGCGCTATGTTGAACTCTGCCAGGTTCCTATCACCAGTGGCTGTTGTGGTTAAAAAAAAAATTGAGGAGGTCCACGTTCTCACCATGTCTATGTGCACCAGAGGAACCACGCTCCTTTGGCATATGTGTACTGTACAGAAGTGGGGAAAGCAATTGCTGTAATGTCAACTGAGTCTGGAAGATACAGAGCTCCAGGAGCATGCGTCCTCACTTGGCCATGTCAAAACCACGCCCCAGGAACATATTTTAACCAGTTTAGTTCTAACACCCATAGTTAAAAAATATATACATATATATATTGTTCCTGTAGATAAAAAGTATAAAATGTATTCTATAATTTGTCCTTTTTAAAATTACACTAAAATTATATTTTAATGCAAAGTATTGCAAAGTTATTTACAAATGTAATGGATAGGTTTGTTTTTTTTGTTCAATTATGTGCTTTTTCAAATCAACACTAAAAAATGTATTGAACAAAATGAATAAAAATAGAAAAAGTTTAAATAGTAATGGTTAGAATAATTGAAATGAATAAAAAATAAATAAAATGAAAAAAATAGGAGAATAGATAAGGGGAGAAGTCAATGGGGAAGTTCATAAAAACTGGAGCAGACAGAATCTGGAGCAGTTGTCCTTGGCAACCAATCAGCTTCTCTGTTTAATTTTAAAGCTTAACTGAACTGAAGATAGAAGCTGATTGGTTGCGTTGGGCAACTGCACCAGATTCTGTCTCCTCCAGTTTCTATTCAGAAAAAAATAACTTTTGATTTTTTATTTTAATAAGTCTTTATTCAAATTTTAAAGAATAACAAAGTGATCAACAATATAGCTGAGTACAGAGGCACATAATATGGTACACACAGAAACTAAAAGATGCATTGCCTTACATTAAAAAAAAAAAAAAAGCAGCGTATATCATGAAACAGGAGTAAATAAAGCAATGCATATACAACATTATAGAAGTATTAAAGAAAGGGATGTACAATAATGTAGCACCAAGAGATGCACATTGTTGACTGTGCCACTTACAAGCATCGAATGGAAAAGGAAGAGAGAGAAGGGAGGAAAAGAATGGGAGGGAAATGTGGGAGGGTAAGGGAAGAAGAGTGAGAAGGATCATGTTCGAGACAAAAGTCATTCACAGCAGACGAAAAGGTTTCTGTAACCATTTTTCCCAAGATTTATAAAAGAATCTATAATTATTCTGAGTCAGAGCAAAAGCACGTTCATAGGAGCATTGCAGGTTCACAGGTGAAACAACTTTCTGGTTTGGGGGGGAAGTTTTTCGCCAGTTACGCATAAGTAATGTTTTAGCTGCAAAAAGGATGTGAAGAACTATGGTTCTAGAATGTACAGATAAATCATCAAGCCCAATATGAAGGATTGCTAAGTAAATAGAAGGGTCAATGGGTATACATTAGGGATGTCTCGATACCCATACAAGCATCGTTATCGGGACCGATACATAGTGCCAAAGCTTGCACTATGGTTTTTTTCTTTACTGACCTTGCCGAGCGTCGCTTCACTGCTTCTCCGGTGGGCGGCGCTCCAGGTGCGGTCCTAATTTAGGTGGCCTGCGACTGCCCAGAGGACCCCACTCAGAGCGCCACCCACCGGAGCAGCAGTGATGCGACGCTCCTCTTCAGCTCAGCGCCAACGACGTCCTCACGTGTGAGGAAAATCGTTCGGCACCGCGATCGAGGCAACAGTAAGTGAGGGCCTGAGCTTAAGTGGGATGTTTAGTGTTTTGTGTGAACAACAAGAATCTATTGCTGCAGTGTATTCTATATGTACTGTAGATGTACTACATATAGAATACACTGCAACAATAGATTTACAATTATCCCCTGCTAATATGAGTGAGTTAAATGATCCATAGTACATAATATTACATAACATGTAGTTGTACTATGGATCATTTAACCTATTTATGTTAGCAGGTCAGAATTGTAAATCTATTGCTGCAGTGTATTCTATATGTAGTACATGTACAATACAGATTCCAAATTCACTGCAGCAATAGATTTACAATTCTGACCTGCTAACATGAATAGATTAAATGATTACATGTACATGATGTACATGTACATGATTTAACCTATTCATGTTAGCAGGGGAGAATTGTAATTATATTGCTGCAGACTGCAGTGTACTGGACGTGTGTGCTGTTTATGTACTATGGATCATGATTTAACCTATTCATGTTAGCAGGGCAGAATTGTGAGCGCCTCCCACAAGCTGAGCACTGAGACACGATGCAGCGATCCTGCCCAGCGCCGACTACAGGAGGCACCATGTGAGGCAACAGGGATCGGAGTGAAACTGTGAGTGAAGTCACCTGGGACAGGGCTGGCTGTCGATCTATTGCTATAGTGTACCGCACACACCTCGACTACACTACAGCAATAGATTTACAATTCTCCCCTGCTAACATGAATAGGTTAAATCATGATCCATAGTGCATGTAGTTGTACTATGGATCATTTAAAGTCACTTGTCCCTTTAAGAAAAAGTATTGGTAATTGGTATCGGCAAGTACATGAGGGGAAGTACTTGTACTTGGTCTTGAAAAAGTGGTATCGGGACATACCTAGTATACATAGAAACTGGGATATGAGTCGAAAGACTTGGTTCCAACATGAGTGTACTGATTTGCAATACCATAGAATATGGGGAAGAGACCCAATCTCTCTGCATTGTCTCCAGCATTGAGGAGATTTGGAGTTTGAGAATTTTTATAGTCTGTATGAGGTGAGATACCATTTGTTCACAACCTTTTATATAGTTCCCAATGATTAGCACACTGGGTACACCCTTATAGGACTGCTTAAATGCTTTGCACCGCTGGTCAATTGAGGTCTTGTTCCCATTTATACATCTAAATTTCAGGTGGGAAAGGGGCAGCTTTTTTAACATCTTTAGCTTTTTCTCCATTCAGATCGGCTTCTATCAGGTTACACAGCAGGGAAAGCCTCCCCGCTGTGTGACCTGTTATGGATGGAGCGCTGCCTGTTAATCACAGGCAGTGCTGCATCCAGCTTTTGACAGGTAGGTAGGTTACACAGCAGCGTGCTTTCCCACTGCTTGTGTAACCTAACTATTGAGGCAATAGCTGTCACAGCCTCTACTCTTTGTTAGAGACGTGAGCTCTGTGGATGGCTTGGACCAATGGCAAAGCGCCATTAGTCCAAGCTGTCCAATAAAAAATAAAAAAAAACACTGAGGACATCAATCTCGATGCCTCAGCAGTGATGAGCAAGTGAGGGACAGGGAGGCTCTTCCCTGTCTCCTCCCTTCCTCCTTCACACTAGCTTGGGGACCAGGTTGGGGGAGGAGCTTCGGCGGGCAGGATGTGCTGGAGGTGAGGCTGGGGAAGGCCTCACCCGGAACCAGAGGTACTGCACGTCACTGGTATAGATGTGGGATGGACTCTTTCCCCTTTTCCAATCAAGGAGGGGGTATGCTACCACGTCTGGTGTAAGTAAAGTTTGTGTCTCGAAACTGGCCTTAGGTTATATGGACCAATAGGTTCTGGCTGAGTAAGAATTTTTAACACCAGCACATAATCCCAATCGCAGAAAACCCAAACATGACCTGACTGCCATGGGCTGGGTCCATATAATCATTTAGTCTGTCCCTAAGTAGTTCTAAAAGACCAGGACAAAATATTTTTCATCACATGCAGCCCTTAGTTTGTACTGTGACTAGTATTTTGGATCTCATGGTTAAACATTTTCTCTCTGATCTAAAACAGAATTTGGCAATCCCAGAGAGTGTGGTGCCAATGATAAATGCCTTCTTTTCTGACTTGCAGTTTTTTTGCTTTTCCCCCCAGTTAGATGATAGTTTATCTGTTCTATATATTTATCAAGGAGCCTGACAGGGGGTTGGGGGGGTGTTGCTGTCAAAGACGGTATGAATTCACGTCTAAAGCTGGCCACACACTAACAGATTTCTTTCGGTTAGCCATTGGCTGAACAAAAGGAATCTAACAGATTCCTCCATCTACATTAAACAGCGTGGATGGGCAAATCTCCCCCACCAAGCTATTGCATTCTAAAAGCTGGCTCCTGCTGCAGTCATAAAATATTATGTAATATGTGTCAAAACCCTTAAGCCTTTACTCTTACACAATTCAGAACTACATTAATTGAATTATTAAATTCAGAAAATAGCAAATACCTCCAATTCTGCAACATCCACACAAGCTTTTCTGGAATATTTTAAGAATTCCTGCAAAAGGAAATTAAATGGCAAAGATTATAAAGCTATTGCTTTTGTATTTAGTTTATTACAAGACATCATGTAGGTAACTATAAAGACTTGTGGTACATATTTCCGTTCACAAACCCACAGGCCATTATAAAGCCTTTCTGCCATTTTTAAAGCTGATATAAAATACACGTTTGATTTAAACAACAGCATATATTTTTATATATGATATGATTATATGCAGTTTGAAAACAATCACTATCCTTGGATGCATCGATCGTGCATCCAGGGATAGTGATTGATTCCTAACCGCATGTTATAATATTACATACCATAACATGCGGTGTGCAGGTGTTTATATGCAGTGGCTGTCAACTGATCATTAACTTGAAATGGTGACAGCTGATGCTTGTAAACGCCAGATTAGGGATTCCTGCTGCAGGAAAACGCTAATTCCTGACGCAGAAATCCCTGCGTCACCCTAAGATGTGAATTTACGGAATAGTACACCCCCCCCCTTGTTTCCCCCTCACGTAAAATAAAATTCCCATCACCTGCACGATCCCTAGTGATACCTAGTGGTCCACTAATCCTTTCCTCCTTTCGGCCAGAGCTCAGAGCTGTCACAGCCCTGGTCAAAAGGAGCAGCTATGCGGTGTGCATCTGACAGAGAACGTGTAGCTGCAGGCCAGATGGTACCCTGTGGGCCGGTACTTGGAGACCCCTGAAGAGCCTCCTTTCCTGCTGTTGACCGGGCCCCCCCCCCAGGCCCATAGCGGCTGCTTATATTGTAAAACGCTGCTCAAACTGTTCACGCTATATAAATCCTGTATAGTAATAATAATAATCTACTGCACTATGAAACAACAAGTAATAAATTGCACTTACTTTCATTATAAATTCACTTTAATGTACTCATTCCAGCAAATAAATGCAGCCCTGAATAAATTAATAAACTTGTACAACCAAATTGTGCTGTGGTTCAGAGTTTTAATCTTTTCACTCTACTATTAGATATCTTACCTTTAAAAGCAGCTGGTATCTCATTATTCTTTGCACTGGTTTTACTAGTAAATCTGAAATTTGAAGAAGATGACCCAGGCGCCGTTTCAAATCCTATGGCAGATAAATTAATATACAAATTAAGCAGGACCCCTATTTATACTTTCAATCTTTTTGTACTGTGTAGTAATGGCTGAGCTTTAGGAAGGGAAAAAAAAGATACAAATCAAAGCCTTTGTATCAAACTGTCCAATGTGGTGCTGCCCACAGAGCAAGTTTGTGCTGCCCACAGAGCAAGTGAAAAATACCTTTAACATTGCATTTCTGTTTTTTTATGGATAAAAACACATTTGAAATAATATAGTTATGTATGGGTCTCTTTAAGGTGATGCTTTATTTTGCCTATGCAGGGCAAAGTAAGAGGTCACTTAACTCCCTCCTTCCAATCAGCATGTAATCACCTTTCCTAACTCCCATACTGCTCCCTTTGGCTGTCAAGACCAGAGAAAGAAAGGCAAATTTCAAGTTCTTTTGGAGATTACACAGGGCTATGTGACATCACTGGCCCAATCAGGACACCTAACCCTATAACATGTGTGAGAGGAAGTGAGTCACATGATCTCACATACCCTGGTGGCCTAATCGAGCAATAAAGGAGGGAGGTAAGGCATGTACATGATGATTACATGCTGCTGGGGAAGGGAGAATTGAACACTGACTGTAGACAATTAGGGTACACGTACAGAAATTAATATGTTTCTTTTTTAAGTGCTAATAAGGAGAATCAGACTGCAGTTCTTTTTTTAATTAATTCAATTTTTATTATTTAAAAAAAAAACTTTAGCTTTAACATCTAATCGTTCTACATCAAAGTACATTTAAGCGTTGAATTCCAGCATTAAGTGTCGGCGGGCAGGACTCACTCCCACCCGGTCATTTTGCCGGCCTGCGGAGTGGTACTGTCCGTCGCTTGCTTCATACAATAAGTGTTACCATCATATGAAAGGAAAATATGCACTAAAAAGGAAAAATAAATAAAAAAGGAAGAGAGAAAAGAAAAAGAAAGGGGGAGAAAGTAGGGAAAGGGAAGGAGGGGAAGTGTGAAAAGGGGATTTAAAGGGGGAGAACCTTCCGATTTTCTTTATAAGATTCTTAATATTACCTATGGCACTAAATTTTACTGTTTCCTATGCCCCTCTCACTGCAGAAGTCTACCGCTTCTTCATTTGTTTTCCTGATAGTGTATTTTCTTCATGTAGGCTGTTTTCTCCCATAACCTATAGATTTCCGGGTGGTCTTTTAAAGGCAATCCATGGTAGCCAGGTGGATTCGTATTTTTTATAGTTGTCTCTCTGGATAAACGTTAATTCTTCCATCAGTCTGTAGTATTCTACTCTACTATGCCATTCGCTTATGGTTGGAATGTTAGTTTGATTCCAATATAATGGAATCAAAGTCCTCGCGGCATTCAGTAGTGGTACCACCAATGATCTTTTATAGGCCCTCGTCGGAAGGTCCATGAGGTGGAAAAGACAGACCATTGGGTCCAAAGGTAATATGGCCTTGGTGATCCTCTCTATTTGAGCTATTACCTCGCCCAATAGGGTTGTATTTCAGGGCACGACCACCACATATGTATGTAAGTACCCTTATGGCCACAGTTTCTCCAGCATAGTTCCGTCTTAGATGGATACGTTTGATGTATACGTTCTGGTGTATAATACCACCGTGCCATGAAGCAAAACATAGTCACTTGAGTGCTAATGGATGTAATCGCATTAAAGGTTAACAATTTTTGTTTCTGTACGTCCGTCCAGGTGGTCTCCAAGTCCTGTTCCCATTGATTTAGATATAATGGGTAAGGACTAAGTTGATGTTTTAGTAGAATCTGATACATTTTTGATATTCTGTGACGTGGTGGTTCTGATACAAAATTTTTTTTTCCAGAGGTGTAAACTCCGGAGTAGTGCGAAAAGGCTTTGGTAGTGTTGAAATAAAATGTGATAGTTGCCTGTGTCTCCATGTGTCAAATGGGTAGGTCCCCCATTGTTCTCTTAGAGATTCTAACGAGAGTGGTCTGTCTCCTTCCGTTATTTGGTAAAGCTTTAAAGTGTCATGTGTCGTCCATTTAAGGAACCCCGTGTTGTGAAGTCCCGGTGGAAAATACGAATGGCCAGTTACTGGCATTATTAGTGAGTTGTATTGGCCTATCAAACGGGTATATAGTGAATTCCAAATAGCCATAGCTTGGCGGGTGAGGGGGGATGTGAAAGAGTGTAAGTTCCAGTGTTCCTATGGTATCCAGCAAATAGTGGGTATGTCTTGATTGGCTAAGGAGTTTTCCACCTCTACCCATCGTTTAGTCTTAGTGCAAAAGTGCATATCTAACATCCTATTAAGTGCAACAGCCTGGTAATAACAATTGAGATCTGGTAGTTCCCTGTTCTAGCTGTTAACTCTATACCCAAATATCGCATTTTTTGATTATGCCAGCTAAAAGACATCAATTCTTTTAGAGCTGTTACAATATGATCCGGAGTGGAGATGTTCAATATCTCAGATTTCGATAGATTAATTTTAAAATTCAATATTTGGTTGAATATTTCAAATTCTCGTAGTAATGACGTAAGCGAGATTTGAGGTTGTTGGATAAAAAATAAAATATTGTCCGCGTAGGCGGCTAATTTATGTTCTATGGTGCCTACTGTGACCCCTGAGATGTTACTATTGCCTCTTATGGCAATAAGGAAGGGTTCTAATGATAGGGCAAATAATAATGGGGATAATGGGCATCCTTGGCGTGTACCATTATATAATGTGAAATTAGTTGAAAAAATACCATTTAATTTAATTTGGGCTGTAGGGTTATTATATAAGGCCAATATCCCGGTCAGAAATCTAGGTCCCTGGCCTACAGCAAGGAGGGTGGCTCGGAGATAGTCCAAGTCGACTCTGTCAAATGCTTTTTCAGCATCTGTGGATAATAACAGGGTCTGCTTCGGTGATAAGGAAGCTAGATGAATTATACTAATTGCTCTCTGGGTGCTGTCTCTTGCCTCCCTACCCATAATAAAGCCTGTTTGATCTGGTAATATTAATTGGGGCATCAAGCGGTTTAGTCTAGATGCTAGGATTTTAGCGAATATCTTGATATCCGTATTCAGTAGCGATATCGGCCTATAGCTACCGAATGCAGTTAAGTCCTTACCCTCTTTAGGAAATACAGCTATATATGCATGTACTGTAGCTGGTGCCGGTAACTCACCACTCAAGAGGGAGTCAAAATATTTACCTAAATGAGGGAGTAAATTATGTTGGAAAATTTTATAATATTGTAATGTAAAGCCGTCCGGTCCTGGGCTTTTCCCCTTGGCCATGGCAGCTATAGCTTGTTGGATTTACTCTCCTCTACTTCCACACCCTCCTCCTCATTGTCTGGCAATACGGCAGGAGCCATGGCCACATCCAAAACCAATTCGGAAGGAGAAGCGGGACTCACCCACCAGTAGTGTGAGAAATCCAATGAGGGAAGAAGATTACCCAATGACCCTCAGCTTCACTCATATTCTTCACTCTGAATCTAACAGTTTCCTGTATTGTACTGTACGTTCTTAGTGATACACACACAGAAAGGGGAGGATTAACAGCTTGATGGTTGTGCTCCTCTTTTTCTTTTCTTTTTTTCTGGGCTTTATCCATCAGTATCTCTTGGTACCTAAAAAGTGAGCTGGTAGTGGCTGATCTATGGAGACCATATTTTGAATAAAATTAGACTAATTCACTAGAGGAGTTGGTAATCTTCACTCCATAAATTGTAGCTGTATTCACTTTGAGTACCCAATCATGCGCAGATTAAATAAACAAACATAAAATTGCTTTTCACATGACTGAATAATTCATGTGAATTGTGTGAAAAATCTGAGTGAAGACGATCAACTCTTTTAGTAAATCGGGCTCAATATCTCATTTGATAGTATACATAATTTGTTATGTTGTAGATCCGTGCGATTTTCTTGATTAGTTGTTTTTTTTGAATAATGGTGCATTTCCAATATCCAGCTATAATGCAGCCAGGAGCTGCAGCTTACTGAGTTATGAATTTCCCATCCCAGTATTTCTTTAGCAAAGAGTACTGTCCAGGGTTCCGAAAGATTTGTTTGATAAATGGCTTTTTAATGTAGATATTGATTTCAGGTACATTTTCTCTAAGAGTAATTTGAGGTTTTATTTTCTAGATTTTATGCGAAATATATTTCTGTATTTAAACCCTCACATGTTTTTGCATATATCTACTGCTAGCAAGCAAAGGCTTAATACTTACCTATGTCTCCGCCGCGTGCTCTCGTCCGAACATCTGAAAATTTCTCGGGCGGGCGCATGTGCAGTTCAGATGTTCAGCCGGGAGATGAGGAGAGACAAAAGGTACGTATATGGAGCAGCGTGCACCCGCATAGACTCCGAGAAGAGGAGGACAGAGGAGTCAGCACTGGATCACACCAGCGCTGGAGGGACAGCTAAAAACTACAGGAAAGAAGAAGATTGGATTAAGAGGCATCATTTAAGGTAAGTCCTTACTTTCGTACTGTGTGGGTGGGGGGACTTTTGCCCTTAATGTCACTTTAATAGAAGGTTAGTATTGCAGCTATAACAGCTTCAACTCTTCTGGGACGAGATTTTTAGGAGAGTTTACGAGTGTGTCTATGGGAATGTTTGACCATTGTTCCAGAAGCGCATTTGTGAGGTCAGGTACTGATGTTGGACGAGAAGGCCTGGCTCGCAGTCTGCCCTCTAATTCACCCCAAAGGTGTTCTATCGGGTTTAGGTCAGGACTCTGTGCAGGACAGTCAAGTTCCCCCACCCAAAATTGGCTCATCCATGTCTTTATGGACCTTGCTTTGTGCACTGGTGTGCAGTCACGTTGGAACAGGAAGGGGCCATCCCCAAATTGTTCCCACAAAGTTGGGAGCATGAAATTGTGCAAAATGTGTTGGTATGCTGATGCCTTAAGAGTTCCCTTCACTGGAACTAAGGGCCAAGCCCAACCCAACCGCCAAACCCAGACACATCCATCGGATTGCCAGACAGAGAAGTGGGGTTTTTCACTCAAGGGAACA